AAATTATGCTCTCGTGAATTTTGATGTGTCAGCGATATTTACGAATCGGCGATTTTGCCGACTTTGACTCCCATTTTAGGCCAATTACATTATTCCAGTCGACCAAATTCTCAGCTATTTCACTAGTATTACTTCTATTCTATCGATTGAGCACAAGAAATCGCCAAGTCAACTTTTTCAACTACAAAATAAAGTGACCGGAAATTGGTAATTTGGCCAATTTAACACAAAGTTCAAAATGTTCCAATTTCAAAATAGGGTCCAGAATAAACAATGTAGGTATTCCTGGCACTAAACTAACATTTCCTCTGTTCATTAGTTATGTTTTGAGGCTTTACAAATAAATTCCATTTTGATTTTTTATTCACATAATGAATTTTTATTCACACCAAAAAATAGAAGATTTACTGTTATGCAATATTGTAATAATTGTATAAATATCATCACCACATTTGTGAATGTATATTAGACCCACCAGCTGGCGTGTATTAGACGTGTGAGGTCGTTTGTTTACTCTTGAACATCGGCAAAAATTTAACATTTCCGATACTTTGAGCTCAATTTCAAGCCATTTCCAGTGCTAACACCAATCAAAATTATCTCTATTTCTGTAATATGTCTTCCATTCTATCAAATGAGACCAAGAAATCACAAATACAACTATAAAAAACATACGAAAAAACACTGCAAAGTCGCTGTTTTAATCGAAAATCATGGTCTCGGTTTTTTTTCTCTCATTATACACAGTGTGCTGCAGGATTTGTTTTATGTGGTGCACACATACCACATAGATGTATTCTCTCATATCTAGGCCCAAATTTACCACTCACAGTTTATTAGAGTGAGCTGAGCTCATGACGTAGATCTACGGTTTGGACTCTGAACGTAAAGCCGTTGATCTACGGGACGGACCCTGAAAGGGTTAATTTAGTAAGTGTAAAGTTAAATGTACGAGTACTCACCAGTAATAAATGATACTGTTCTCTCTAAAGCACTAAAAAAATTATACAGTACGTATTATATTCTATATGGAAATTTTGCTAAATTTATGATATTTGTTACAAAATTATTAAATTATGTTTTTCTTAATAATTAGCGTTAAAACTCGTAAAAAAACTATATATTGCCACAAAAAAAAAAATCTGCGAATTTGCGGGGATTTCCACAAACAATTATTAGTTAGGTTCTAAGGAATAATCCACAAATTACTCTAGCCGTGAATTCACGGGGGTCCACTATATTTTGCAAAACTATTATATAATTATGTCCCATGTAATGTTTTATTTCATTTTGTCAATCTGAAATACTGTTTTGGTTTATCATATTTTCCTGTTGTTTTCTTATTTCCCCCCAAGACATATTTAGGTACAAACAGTGTCAAATAATTTAAAAAATATTTTTTTCCCCCCCTTACGAAATGATAGAGAATCTTTTTCCATGGTTATGAAATGAAAAGCATGAAATTTGCTGGAAAAGTTACAGAACTACGCTCTCGTAAAGTTAGCGACCTCGGCGATACTTGCGCATTGGTGATTTCGCCCACTTTAAGCCTTATTTTTCTGCCAATTTCATTGTTCCAGTCAACCGAACTGGTAGCTATTTCTCAAGAACAAAGATTGGTTATGAAATCACAAGAACTATTATAAATTGTAATGATCAGAACATAAAAATTATATAAATTAAAAACAAGAAAAAAGGGATATAGGAAACACTTCTGCAAGCGGCAGAACTCGATGTTGCCGTCAGGTGAGCATCCAGCACCAGCTTCGCAGGCTTACATCTCGGTAAGTACTGACCCTAAAAAAAAAATTTTTTTTATCCTATAACATTTATAAAAATGCGCTCTTCAATCCGCCCCCCCCCCCCCAATATTCGGAGCGCTACACGAGTGAACGCAGATCTCCGTTTGGGCAGTTTAACTCTTTCAGGGTCGAGAGGCCCTCTCCTAAACTCATTCTCAGGGTCAAAAATTTTTCGGAATTTTTTTTTTTTTCTTATGAAAAGATAGAATCTTTTCCCGATCATAATGACACCAAAAGTAAGAAATTTGATGGAAAACTTAGAGTTATGCTCTCGCAAAGTTAGTGGTCTCAACGATGTTCATGCATCAGCGATTTTGCCCACTTTCAGCCTCATTTTTGTCCAATTTCAGTGTACCAGTCGACAAAAATCATATCTGTCGTTAGAACTCCATTTTTTCTATCGAATGAGTACAAGAAACCACCCATTTACTGATTTCAAGTATCCAATAAAGTGGTTAGAAATTGGCAATTTTGCTAATTTCACACAAATTTCAGAAGATGCCAATTTCCAAATAGGGCCCTGAATAAGCAAAAAAGACATTACTGGCACTAAAATAACATTTTCTCTGTTCATTAGTCATGTCCCCAGGCCCCTCTTAAACCTGTTTTGCTTTCCACTTTGAATTTTTATTCTCGCAAAAAATAGAAGATTTGTTGTTATGCAGACTACTGCATTAGTGTAGAAATGGTGTAAATAATATCAGTGCACTTGTGGAAGAATATTAGACTCACCAGTTGATGTGTATTGGACATTTGGCATGATTTGTTTACTTTTGAAATTTGGTAAAAATCCAACATTTCTGCTGCTATGAGCTCAAATTCAAGGTACTTTTCATTATGAAACCAATCAAAATCTCAATTTCTGTAATATGTCTTCCTTTCTATAAAATTAGACCAGGAAAACTAGAATACAACCATAAATACCATACGAAAATACACTGCAAAGTCACTGTTTTAAACCAAAAACACGGTCAGAGTTTTTTTTTTCTCATTGTGCACTTTGTGCTGCAGGATTTTTTTTATACTGTGCACACTAACCACATAGACCCTTTCTTTCATATGTAGGCCTACCAGCTTTCTTTCGCTAGATTTGAAGGTGCTAGAATTTAGGCATTCTAGTATGTCAATAACCCTGGTGTGTAAGCCGTACTAATACGTCGGAAACCCTGGTTAGCTCAACAAATTCATGTGGGTTGCATCCCTAGTGGTCCCATAAGTGTAAAAACAATGCAAAACAAGGTTAGTAGATTTAGGTTGAAATTGTTTCAGAGACCACATCTGCAGTATACCACTCTGAAATCTGTTAATTTTTTTTTATGCTGACATTACTGCCTACGTACTGGACACATCCATGAATGAGGCGCAGGACAGTCAGCTTATGTTATACCTTCCCTTGCACAGGTATCTTCATTATGACACTAATCTCTGTAACAGTGATTTAGTGGCGAATCTGTGTTAAGCCTACCTGTAGTATAATGCAAGAGAGAGTAAGAGTGAATCAGAGAAGACACTCCAGCTGCTGCCCATCTCTGCATATCAGTACTGGACTGTGCACTGTATGGCAGCACTGTTGTCTTTAATTAACTTGTTCATTATATAATAAAGATTATTCAGTACTATTTGTAAGTGAAAATGAACAGTGCTGAATGTAAAATCCAGTATTGGAAAAATATTAATTTAAAACAAAATGACATTACATAGATAAAGAATAGTGGTGGGATGATGCCAGAATTTTTGCCAATACTTGTTCTCAGCTTTAGGCCATCAAAAATACCATCAAAATTGTTTGATACTGATACCATCAGATCACTACTTCTTGAAACAGTTTTAGGCTGGTACCTATACCATCAAAATTAGCCCCTACCCATTGATACTTTGGCACTCCCCTAATACAGAATGTTATAATCTCTGATTATAACATTAGTGTTAATGGGAAAATAGATTCTAAACAATTGACTCTTGAGCAGTTTTCAGGAACATATTAATATAAGGTAAAGACCTACTGTATTTCCCTTGCTTTTACCAGGGTATGTCTATATCCAGGCAAATCAGTTGACTCCTCACTTTCGGGTCCTTATGAATGGGAACTTACCCAGCAGTCTTCAGTTGTATGGAGTGCTGGGACCTTTGATCAATGGCATGTTGACTTATTTGCCTTGAGGGCTAATTGTAAGGCTCCTATTAGTATGTCTCCATTCCTTGATCAGATGGCTTCAGTGAAGGACCCTTTCGTCTCATGGCTATCAGGGATAAAAGCTTCTTCTTTTCTTCTTTGCATTTATGTTAAGAATATAATTTTCTACCTGGCTTAAGTGTCCACTCAGTGCTTACTATTGTTCCAAGATGTCACCTGCAGCCCTGGTTGTAGACCTTGCAAGTTCTGGCCTGGCAAAACACAGGTGTCTTGTGTCCCTGACCTCAGGATGTTCTGGTACTGGAATTTGTTCTTGATAGTCAATGTTTGGTTGATTTGAGTGTATCTCCACCTATGGCTGTGCTCAGGCTATCTATTCCATTGTCCCAGGGCCTTATGGTGTGATAAATGATGATTTGGTGTGCATCCTGAGCTCCTTATAGAGAAATGCTGTTATAGATACTCGGTCACTGGCCATTTTCCCCTCAAAAAGGCATGGTGATCCAAAGAAGGGAAAACTCCATTATATTCAACTATTGTAGATGGCAGTTTTATGTAGTATGGCAAAACTGCCACCATTTTGGTGGTTAATCTTAAGTAAGTTTATTCAGGTATACACAAATACAGTTACATAGATTATCATACATAGCAGCATGTGTGTAGAGAACCTAGGATAACCCAAAAAAGTGACTTATTTCCATTGGGGCCTTGTACTGCTCTGTGAATACGTGTGATAATGTAGGATTTGAGATTTACTGTAAAGTAAAAATTCAGGTAGGATTGTTTTCAGTGCAATTTTGACCATTTTGGATTTAATCAGATATAGAATGTCACTGACTGGCTGTAGGGTGGTTACCTCTGGAGCAACTAAAACAATAACCATTGTAGAAATGGCTGACTGGTGTAGTTACTAATCATCATTTAATTTCCTTTAAACTAAATTGACAGCATCTTGTTGGTGTACCATATAGAATCTTTGAGTTTATATCTTTTAAATATTTTTCATGTGAATTGTTCAATTAAACCTGCTGAAACTATAAAAGTATATTTTTTACTTGTTGCAGGTATCAAGAAATACATAGTCAATGTTATTATCAAATTGTCAAGCACACCAGAATCTCTTGACCGAGAGAAAGTTTATTTGAATAAACTGAATATGATTCTTGTACAGGTGAGTATTGTAAGATGGGTAAATTTTGTTGTAGCTAATGCTCTTATTAGTATTTTTTCAGATTATTATGGCAGTATATCAAACAAATATTGAATGGTTCATGTTCTAAAGTATTTCTCTTGAAATACTTGCAAATTCATCCACATTTTGATAAAACAGATCCTGAAGCGTGAATGGCCCAAAAACTGGCAGTCATTCATTCCTGACATTGTTGGAGCAAGCAAAACTAATGAATCTATGTGCCAGAACAACATGGTGATATTGAAATTGCTGTCAGAAGAAGTTTTTGACTTTTCCACGGGACAAATGACCCAGACCAAAGCAAAGCATCTCAAGGATACCATGTGCTCAGAATTTCAACAAGTTTTTCTTCTATGTCTTTTTGTCATGGTAAGTTAATACTGAATTAATTCTTCATATAATTTTCAGTTACTTTTGCTTTTGTATCTTATACTCCTCTACTGGATGCCTAGCATGATATTTAAAATGTACATTCTTCATATTCTCATTCCTCACTATTTTTGTATCATATAGGCTGTTTTCCCCCAAGGTAGCATGATTTGCAAGAGGAAACACGTTCACCATAATTTGTTCAAGAGCTGTCCTGCCAGAAGTGTAAAGACATCAGTCAAGTGACCCTTTGAATCACAACATCTCTTTCCCTATACCCATCCTGCAGAATGCAAGAACTCAACTTGGATCTAGCTAATCTGTTTCCTGGAATCACTTCATCATAACTGTTACCTTGCTCACTCTTCAACAGCCCATTAACCCTTTCAGCATCAAGACCCCTGATCTCAAACTTGCTCCCAAATTTACCGCTCACAACTTATCTAAGTGAGTTAAGCTCATGGCATTGTACCACGGGACTGACACTGCCTTCAAAGCCATTATATAATGGGACTGACACTGACACTGAAAGGGTTAAATCTCAGAAACTACTTGTCTTCATTCATTCCATTTGGTCATACTTGCACACGCCTGTTGAATGTTCAAGCATCTACCACTAAAGCTCCTCCACACCTTCCTTTCCCTACTTTCAATCCACTTTCAATTTACATATCTTTTTGGTCAACTTATCTTGCTCCATTGTTTCTGAATGACCAAATCATTTCCTCTCTCACTCAGTTTGCACCACATCTGCACTCCTTTTCTATTATATAATTTACACAACTAACTGACCTGGAATTCTATATCTCCACTGCTTCCAGCCTCTTGGCTGCAACATTTGAAGATTGTTTCATGCCATGCAAAACTATTGACACACTTAACTGTAATCTGCTACATTCCCCTAAAGTTGATATACTTTTACTTTTGATATACCTTTGATGAGTTTTAACCCTTAAACGGTCTAAAGAAATCGACGTTCAAATTCGTAGTGCTACAAAAGTAGATCTACTTTTTTTTTTACATATTTTCAAATATATAAAAAAAATATATATAGATAAAAGTTTTTTTTTACATGTTTTCAAATGTAAAACAAAAGAGAAGATCTACATTTTTTTACATACTTTCAGATGTTGAAAAAACGTATATATACGTTTTACCCCTTTTTGTATCCACTGACAAATTTCTTCAGACTCCTCAAAAGGCTGTCGGTATTTTTCTCATTGAGTCTGTGATTCACCATATCTGCTGGCAGAGTCATTCTTAAATATCTGAATATATCACATACTTTTTTTTTTTTTTTTTTTTTTTTTTTTTTCCCCCCCCCCCCCCCCAACAAGTCGGCCGTCTCCCACCGAGGCAGGGTGACCCAAAAAAAAGAAAGAAAATCCCCAAAAAGAAAATACTTTCATCTTCATTCAACACTTTCACCACACTCGCACATTATCACTGTTTTTGCAGAGGTGCTCAGAATACAACAGCTTAGAAGCATACACATATAAAGATACACAACATATCCCTCCAAACTGCCAATATCCCAAACCCCTCCTTTAAAGTGCAGGCATTGTACTTCCCATTTCCAGGACTCAAGTCCGACTCCATATTTCTTCCCTCCAATTAAGCATCTTTTCATTATCTTGCTTTCTTCATACTCTCCTTACCTTGCTCTGATTTTTATACATTCACCTTTAACTTTCTTGTATTACACAGCCTCTGACTCCAGTCTTTACCACTTACCTTATGTGTTTTCTTTGGCCATGGAGTGTTTTTATTCAGAAAGCGATTACTGCATGCCATGAAGTTAAGAAAGTAATTAGTGGAATGCTTTTTATGTATAATATTTACACAACAAATTCATTTGAAACCCATCTGCATTGCCTCTAGCCTCCTCTTCGCTGCACCATTTAAAAACTATGCTTCATACTAGGGTTGTGCCAAAGTATCAGCATTGGTGATAGCTAATTTTGGTAGTGTCAGTATCAGTAAAATTGAGTATTGGGATCAGTGGGTATGGGCTCATTTTGATAGTACCACTGGGTATTGGCTAATTTTTGATGATATTGTTATGTGCCTAAAATTGGGTATTAGTACAGTGGACCCCCGGTTTACAATATTATTTCATTACAGAAGTATGTTCAGGTGCCAGTACTGACCGAATTTGTTCCCATAAGGAATATTGTGAATTAGATTAGTCCATTTCAGACCCCCAAACATACACATACAAACGCACTTACATAAATACACTTACATAATTGGTCGCATTGAGAGCTGATCGTAAACCGGGGGTCCACTGTATTGACAAAAATTTTGATATTGTCCCATTGTCCCATCCTTACCTTATACCTGTACAAAAGTGTTGTCTCTGCTGTACTGTAATCTGTTAAATTTCCCATTTTGCATCCACTTGAACACTTCAATGATTTGCCTTATCTACCAGTACATCCACTATCTGAACACTACACACACACTTCATATTTCTTACAAAAATCCAGTCTTCCATTACCTTGGCTGCTTTATGCTCACTTGTTCTTTTAATATGTTCACTTTAAATTTCCTTGTTTTACACACCCTCTCAAACTCCTCCAACCTTTGGCCCCAGAGTTTTTAATGAGGGAGATTACCATATGCTATGCTATGTAATTAAGAAAATACTGAGAGGAATGTCTAGGGATTATTGATTCCTTTGCTGAGCAACAGTATAGTTTCAGGAACGGTAAATATAATTTTTTTTTTTGTTTCAGTTCATTAGAGGCTAATGATGAGATTATAGAGATAAGGCATTTAGGAAAAAGATCAGTGGACTGTATATTGCTAGTTGTTGACAAAGCCTTTGGCACTGTATCTTGCAAAAGACTATTACAGAAGCTGAAGATAAAGCCTGGGGGTGACAAGCAGTGTAATAGCCTGGATTAAGGAACATTTATAATATAAAGTGAGAAGTGAAATGCCAGGATGGCAAATGGATAAGTGAAGTCCTCAAGAATTAGTAGTAAGCTTCATACTTTTCCTAACATAGTATATACTATACTGTTTAATATATAAAACACTCTTGTATATACAACACTCTGATTAAAAACTTACATGCCTTGGCCAATACACACAAACTTTCATACAAAATTAGATACAAGAGCAAAATGTCCATATGTGTAATAGTCATGCTATGCCTACCATTCCTCCAGACATTGTATAACCCCTGAAGGTTTAGCTCTTTCTCCCATGAATGTAATAATAAGACACTATTGAGGGGTTTTCCCAAATTTTGTTTGTTTGTTTGTTTTGTTTTGTTTTAACAAACCAGCTATATCCAACCAAGGCAAGGTGACCTAAAAAGAAAAACAAAAGTTTTTCATTTTAAATTCAGTAATTTATACAGGAGAAGGGGTTACTAGACCCTTGCTCTTGGCATGGCTTATGGAGGAAGAATTTTTTTCCATTTCCCCATGAAGAAAAATGTGCAATTATTTATATTAATATGCAGTATTAGATAGGTAGTAGGTTGGTAGACAGCAACCATCCAGGGAGGTACTACCGTCTTTCCAAGTGAGTGTAAAACGAAAGCCTGTGATTGTTTTACATGATGGTAGGATTGCTGATGTCTTTTGTCTGTCTCATAAATATGCAAGATTACAGGCATGTCTTGCTACTTCTACTTACACTTAGGTCACACTACACATATATGTACACATTTATTTATACACACTCATCTGAGTTTTCTTTGATTTTATCTTAATAGTTCTTGGTCTTATTACTTTTCCTTTTATATCCATGGGGAAGTGGAATAAGAATCTTTCCTCCGTAAGCCATGCGTGTTGTAAAAGTCAACTAAAATGCCGGGAACAATGGGCTAGTAACCCCTTTTCCTGTAAAGATTACTAAAAAGAATAAGAAGAAAATTGTTTTCTTTCTTTTTTGGGTCACCCTGCCTCGGTGGGAGACGGCCGATTTGTTGAAAAAAAAAAAAATGCAGTATTAGAAACTACCAGTGGGGATTGTATACAGTAGAGTTTATTTTTATTTTTGTATTGCTTTTTGCCTCATCAGCTGTCACCCATTACAGTAGCATAGCCTCAGTAATTTTTAAGTGCAAGATACATAGTTTTTAAAACCTGAAATAGTCATGCAGAGTGTCCCAATTAGAATTAAGCTCCTAAAAATTTTGTGCTCATTTAACAATTAATATAATGTAAATCATTGCACAAATGCATACCTAAAGAGGGTTTCAAGGACCAACACCCCCATGGTCAGCCTTTATATTTTCTTTATATAGTCTTCCTTCATATAACTTAGGACTCTTACTTCTGCACGTGCCACTGTGTTATAATTCAGCTTGTAGAGTTGATTTGCAGCAGCACACACACATGTGGATCCTACACTTCTACACATGATGTATTTGCCCAAAATTATACATGTACATAATGCAGAATACTTGGAACCTCCCACAGTCTGTTGCTGCTTGTAAATTAATACACCTAACTGTCCCATCACTTTGCCTTTTAGTCATCACACACACAGTTTTGAAAATCTAAGTATCCACATGGGTTCTAGGCACCAGTGACTAGCCTCATTACTGTAACAATACTTCTGACCTATTTCAAAGGGGTTTCTGTCCTTCCAGCCTAGCCTAGGCCAGGCTCCAGACTACCTTGCTGACTGTCACTGAGCCAGATGTTACTGCCAGCTGTCCACAGGCCTACATAGCCAGCAATATCTGGCTGATGTGGCATGTAGCAATTAGTAAAGTTTCTTCCTGGCTCGCCTGAAGCAATTTGTCTAGTTTCCTCCTGGCTGGCTTGTAGGAATTGGGCCAATTTTCAACTGGCATTGTCAGTAGATTGTTTGTCTAGTGCATTTCAAAACTGGTTCTTCTTTAAATATGATTTAAGCTAGTTGAGCAAAAGGATTTAGCTGTGAAAATCTAGCAATATTTACGTGAAACATAGCGAAGTCATAATGCTTTTCACAACATCAGATGTTGATTGGACTAGGTTTCTTTTCCATACAGAAAGTTTAATGTTTTTATTTTTTTAATATGCTGGCCATCTCTCACCAAGGCAGGGTAACCCCAAAAAAAGAAAATTCTTTCACCATTATTCACATTATCACTGTTTTTGTAGAGATGCATAGATACAATGTCACTCTAAACAGCAAATATCCCAAACCTCTCCTTTAAAGTATAATTACCTTGCTGAAATACTACACAGCCTGATTGTAACTGGTGTCTGTTATAGAAGCATGTAATATTTAACATGCTCTGTAGTGATGTACAGCAGAGAGAAAGATTGAAAGTGTGGAATGAACAGTAGTTAAACTCTTAGGCTTTCTTGCTATTTCTTGCCAGACTTTCAGCCATGACCTTTGTTACATAAATCTTTACTGTTTCTACCTATGATGAAGTCTGGTGACTGTTGCTTGCAAAAAGCTTATCAGTGGGAATAGGATAAAAATGCAAATGGAAGAGAACTGCAGGACTGTGAGGCTGGTTGATCAGGTGGTTGAGTTCAGTCCCAATAAATGCAAAGTAATTAACCCTTACACTGTCACAACCCCTGCTCTCAAAAATTATTTTATCTTATGAAATGATGCAGAAAGTTTTTCTGAAGGTAATGAAAATAAAAGTACAAAATTTGATGGAAAACTTAGTAAAGTTAGCGGTCTTGGTGATATTTATGCATCAGCGATTTCGCTCACTTTGTGCTCTATTTTTGGTCAATTCCATTGTTCCAGTCCACCAAACTCAGCAGTTTCACTACTATTCCTTCTGTTCTATTGATTGAGTACAAGAAACCACCCATTTACCTATTTCAACTACCCAAACAGTGATCAGAAATTAGTAATTTGGCCAATTTCGTATAGTATTCAGCAATTACCAATTTGAAAATAGGGTCTAGGATAAACAATGTAGACATTTCTGGCACTAAATAAACATTTCCTCTGTTCCACAGTCACGTCTCCAGGCCCCTCTCACACAACCTCTCCTCACTTAACAACAGAGTTCCGTTCCTAAGACTGTGTCGGTAAATGAATTTGTCGCTGAGCAAGGAGCATACTATAATGGTAGTGGGTTTGTCATCCATCTTTGATATTGTTTTTATGTCACCTTTGGACCATTTATAACACTTTTAGTATATTTTTAAATGTTTATGCACTAGTGTACTGTATATCGTAAAAAACAGAATAGAGGAAATCGGCTCTGATGTATGCACATTTAGGTATGCATACTGGTCAGAGAGCCTGTTATAAGCCTGAGTCATCAGTAAACGAGTATGCCGCTAAGTGAAGAGAGGTTGTATTACACTTGCTTTACATTTTGAATTTTTATTCACACAAAAAAACAAAATTTAATGTTATGAAGATTGCTGCATTATTGTAATAATTGTGTAAATAATGTCGGTGCATTTCTAAATGCATACTAGACTGGCCAGTTGGATGCACATTGGACAAGTGACATCATTTGTGTACTCTGTAATATCTGCAAAAATTGAACATTTCTGATACTTTGAGCTCAATTTCAAGCTACTTTCAGTTCTGAAACTAATCAAAATCATTTAGATTTCTGTAACATATATATAAATTCTGTCAAATGGGACCAAGAAACTGAGAATGCATCCTTTAAAGCCGTACGAAAATACACTGCAAAGTTGCTGTTTTAAACCGAAAATGAGGTCGCAGTTCTTTTTCTCATGCACTGTGTGCTGCAGGATTTTTTTTATGGTGCTCATTACCGCATAGACCCATTCTCTCATATCCAGGCCCAAATTTACCGCTCACAGCTTATCTGAATGAACTGAGCTCATGGTGTCATACTTCGGGACCGACACTGGCTTCAAAGCCGTGATACAACAGGACCAACAAAGAAAGGGTTAAGAAGGACCCCCCATCCTCCCCTCTACCCCTGGTAGAACAGCTTATGGAATTCAACAAAGAAAAGGGCCTCAGAGTATATATTATTCCGACCTTATTTACTAAAGTACACTTAACAGTAATGGTAAGCTTGTTCATGTAATGCCAGTGTGGACTTGCTCATTGACAGATACAAGGAAACTAGATAACTCTGAAGGAACCAGGATGAAGTGTTATAATTACTACTACTTTCTTTCAACAAACCGGCCATATCCCACCAAGGCAGGGTGGCCCAAAGAAAAACACGAACGTTTCTCTTTTTAAATTTAGTAATTTATACAGGAGAAGGGGTTACTAGCCCCTTTCTCCTGGCATTTTAATCGCCTAAGTGATATAACCACAGACATAATTCTCGAGAATATGGATGGAATAAAAGATATGATTAGAACAGACGTTGGGAAGCATTCAATATTCAAACGATGTGTTTAGCACTCTCACTCGTAATAATAATTCAATACAGCCTCTCCTTACTTAGTGACGTACACATTTACCAACGACTCGGACTTATGACGGGCTTTCTGACCAGTATGCATACTTCAGTAATGCATATTAGAGCTGATTTCCCCTGTTCTGTTTATTTCAGTAAATAATAGACTACTGTGTAAACATTTAACCCTTAAACTGTCCAAGCAGATCTACGTTCACATGCGTAGTGCTCCAAAATTAGATCAATGTTTTTTTAATATATTTTCAAATATAAAAAAAAAATAGATCAAAGTTTTTTACACATTTTCAAATGTAAAAAAAAAAAAAAAAGATGATCTACTTTATTTACATACTTTAAAATGTTGAAAAAACGTAGATCTATGTTTGGACAGTTTAAGGGTTAAAAATAACTAAAAATGTTACAAATGGTGCAAAGGTGACATTAAAACAATATCTTAAGATAGTAGACACAAACCCACTACCATTATAGTATGCTCCTTGCTTAATGACCAATTCGTTTACCAACCTACTCCTATGAATCGAACTCCATCGTTAACCCCTTGGCTGTCGCAACCCCAAATCCTGAGGTGTCTCCTGGTGTTGAAAATTTAAAAAAAAAAAATCTTATTAAATGATAAGAGAATCTTTTCCCAATTGTAATGACACCGAAAGAACGAAATTTGATGGAAAACTGACGGAATAATGCTCTCATGAAGTTAGCGACCTCGGCAATATTTACGAATCGGCGATTTCACCCACTTTGAGCCCTATTTTCAGCTAATTCCATTATTCCCGTCGACCGAACTCATAGCTATTTCTTTAGAACTCCATTTTTTCTATCATTGGAGTACAAGAAACTGCCCATTTACCGATTTCAACTACCCAATAATGTGGTCAGAAATTTGTAATTTGGCCAATTTCACGAAAATTAAAAAATGTGACAATTTCAAAATAGGGTCCAGAATGAACAATGCAAACATTCCTGGTTCTAAAATAACATTTTCTTTGTTCATCAGTCATGTCTCCAGGCCCCTCTGATATTACTCTTGCTTTCTATTCTGAATTTTTATTCAAACAAAAAATAAAAGATTTACTGTTATGCAGACTACTGCAATATTGTAATAATTGTATAAATAATGTCAACCCATTCATGACTGCATATTAGAATGGCTACTTTGACATTTATTGGGAAATGACATCATTTGTTTACTTTCGAACATCGGGAAAAATCCAACATTTCCCCTACTTTGAGCTCCATTTCAAGGTTCTTTTCATAATAAAACTAATCAAAATCACCTCTATTTCTATAATATGTTTTCCATTCTATCAAATGAGACCAAGAACACGAGAATACAACCATAAATACTATACGAAAATAGACCGTAAAGTCTGCATTTTAATTAAAAAAAAAAAACGGTCAGTTTTTTTTTTCTCATTATGCACTGTGTGCTGCAGGATTTTTTTTATATGGTGCACACTGACCACACAGACCCATTCTCTCACATGTGGGCCTACCAGCTTTCTCCTGCTTGATTTGAAGCTGCTAGAATTTGAGTATATATACATCAAAAACGGTGGCTTGTAAGATGTATATATATGACCAAAACAGTCAAAGGGTATTTAAATGAGGAGGGACTGTAATTACTTTTTTATTCTTGCTTTAGAGGTACAGTATATTCTGAATGCCAGAACAGGTTCAGCTGCTTAAATCAAACTAGTAACTTTTAGTTTATACATTCATTTAATTATAGGTTGCATTAATTCATATTTATTGGTCACATTTTACCTGTCCAGGTAGTTATTTTTCACAGTAGTACATAATAGTAGCATTACTCTGTTTTGTACTCGTTATTAAAATAAATTATTTTTAATTGCAGGAAAACTCCCAGAACCCAACGCTTGTTAGTGCCACACTTGAAACTCTTCTCAGGTTTCTTAACTGGATTCCTCTTGGTTATATTTTTGAAACCAAGCTTATCAGTACTCTTATATACAAGGTAAAATTTTTTTGTGTTTTTCCGATTATCCTTTCATAAATGATTTACCTCTGTTTTAGAACTTTTAAAGATGATACATGAGCAAACACTTGGGACAGTTTAATAGTAAAGTTTCCATTAAAATGCCTTAGGTGTTCCTCAATTTTTTGGTATCATATACCTAGTAGACTAGTTAGAAAAATTGCTTAATATGTCTGCAGAAAAATTGCTTAATATGTCTGCATTGTCACATTACTGATACGCCATTTTTTGCTTTCAGTTTTTAGGCCTTCCACTTTTTCGAAATGTGACACTGAAGTGTTTGACAGAGATAGCTGGTGTTGCCGTTCCTTCATATGATGAATCGTATATCATGATGTTCTCCCAGACTATCACACAGCTGCAGGAGGTAAGGAATATCTTATTATATTATGGGCATGTATATGGTGTCCTGAATGGTATTCACATTAATGAAATTCAGTACCGTATTCATGAAAACGTCTATTTCAGGAATGTGATCCCCCTCACATAACGTGAGGGGGTCACATTCCTGAAATAGATGCTTTGTGATTTTGTGCTGTGTAATAATAATAATTGTAATTTACAATTTTTGAGTGCCTGATCTTTCAAGAAATTTACTTGTACTTGCACACAAAACCATAAATACAGCAACTAAAAAATATTAGTTTATTTTCCAGAGTGACAGTATTATCATCAGGATTGTAGTCTTTAAAAGAATTTGCTTTGCTTTAAAAGCAATAACAGATTCCTGGTAATCTGATATACAGACATGGAGCTACACAAATGTGTGTGCACACATGAAAAAATTAGGGTTGGGTTCATGGCATCTACAAAGTCAATATTTTTAAGTGTTCATTTTAAAAAAGAATAGTCTTTGAGACATTATAGATGTTGAAATATAGAGGAATAGTTGGTGATAGATAACATGCTGAATTTATATGTAACCTATAAACAAGTATACATATTGTAAATTGCAAAATGTACGTAAAGGCCAGTGAGCAGAAGTTGTAGAGAGCCTGACTCGGAAATACTGTAATTTTTAGGCATCATTGAAAATGAGGTTGCATTAATTATGCAAGTAAGTGATGTAGTAGATGCCATGTAAAACAGCAAGATAGGAGATGCCCAACTAATATTTCAGGCGCTGATTGTAACATCAGAAGATGCAGGTATCTGGAAGGATTCTTATATATGGTATGTTTGAGGTTTGTGACCTGTTCATGATAAGCCATTTGGTTATTCAAAGAACAAATGGAAAGTTTAATGCAGTTGGTTTTAACATAGCTCTCAAATGGACAATAAACAAATCTCAGAATTCAACTGGAGGGATCAGTGACCAAAAAAAAAAAAAAAAAAAAAAAAAAAAAAAAAAAAAAAAAAAAAAAAAAAAAAAAAAAAAAAGCATATATAAAGATACACAACATATCCCTCCAAACTGCTAATATCCCAAACCCCTCCTTTAGAGTGCAGGCATTGTACTTCCCATTTCCAGGACTCAAGTCCGGCTATATAAAAATAACCGGTTTCCCTGAATCCCTTCACTGAATATTACCCTGCTCACACTCCAACAGATCGTCAGGTCCCAAATACCATTCGTCTCCATTTACTCCTATCGAACACGCTCATGTACGCCTGCCGGAAGCCCAAGCCCCTCGCCCACAAAACCTCCCTTACCCCTTCTTTCCAACCTTTTCGAGGACGACCCCTACCCCACCTTCCTTCCCCTACAGATTTATACGCTCTCCATGTCATTCTACTTCGATCCATTCTCTCTAAATGACCAAACCACCTCAACAACCCCTCTTCAGCCCTCTGACTAATACTTTTATTAACTCCACACCTTCTCCTAATTTCCACACTCCGAATTTTCTGCATAATATTTACACTACACATTGCCCTTAGGACATCTCCACTGCCTCCAACCGCCTCCTCGCTGCTGCATTCACAACCCAGGCTTCACACCCATGTAAGAATGTTGGTACTACTATACTTTCATACATTCCCTTCTTTGCCTACATAGATAACGTTTTTTATCTCCACATATACCTCAACGCACCACTCGCCTTTTTTCCCCTCGTCAATTCTATGATTAACCTCGTCCTTCATAAACCCATCCGCCGACATGTCAACTCCCAAGCACGTATCTGAAAACATTCACTTCTTCCGTACTACTCCTCTCCAATTTGATATCCAATTTTTCTTTATCTAAATCATTTGATACCCTCATCACCTTACTCTTTTCTATGTTCACTTTCAACTTTCTGCCTTTACACACACACCCAAACTCATCCACTAACCTTTACAATTTTTCTTTAGAATCCCCATAAGCACAGTATCATCAGCAAAAAGCAACCGTGTCAATTCCCATTTTGTATTTAATTCCCCTTAACCCTTTGACTGTCGCAGGCCCCTTTCTGAAACTGTCATTCTATGTTGCAAAATTTTTGAAAAAAAAAAAAAAAATTCTTATGAAATGATGGAGAATCTTTTCCCGATGGTAATGACACCAAAAGTTCGAAATTTGGTCGAAAACTCAAGGAATTAGGCTACTGCGAAGTTAGCGGTCTCAGCAACATATACGTATCGGGGATTTCGCCGACTTTGAGCCCTGTTTTTAGCAAATTCCGTTGTTCCAGTTGACCAAACTCATAGCTATTTCTTTAGAACTCCATTTTATCTATCAGTTGAGTACAAGAAACCGCCCATTTACCAATTTGAACCACCCAATAAAGTCAGAAATTGGCAATTTGGTCAGTTTCATGCAAATCAAAAAAGATGCCAATTTCAAAATAGGATCCAGAATAAACAAGGTAGACATTCTTGGCACTAAAATAACATATCCTCTGTTCATTAGTCGCATCTCTAGGCCCCTCTTATATTACTATTGCTTTCTATTTTGATTTTTTATTCATACAAAAAATACAAAATTTACTGGTATGCAGACTACTGCATTATTTTAAAAATGGTATAAATAATATCAGCGCACTAGAGAAAGAATATTAGACTTCCCAGTTGACGTGTATTGGACGTGTGGTGTGATTTGCTTACTCCTGAACATAGGTAAAAATTGAACATTTCCGCTACTTTGAGCTCAGTTTCAAGGTCGTTTTCATCGTGAAAGTAATGAAAATCATCTCTATTTCTGTAATATGTTTTCCATTTTATCACCTAAGACTATGAAAACGAGAATACAACGATAAATACTATACGAAAATACACCTCTAAGTTGGCGTTTTAATCCAAAAAAACGGTCGTTTTTTTTTTCTCATTACGCACTGTGTGCTGCAGAATTTTTTTTATGTGGTGCACACTGACCACACAGACCCATTCTCTCACATGTGGGCCTACCAGGTTTCTCCTGCTTGATTTGAAGCCACTAGAATTTATGAGTATATATACGTCAGAAACAGTGGTGCATAAGACGTATTTATACGGCGTAAACAGTCAAAGGGTTAATTTAATCCCACCCCTCTGCTGAACACCCTAGCATTTACTTCTTTTGCAACCCCATCTATAAATATATTAAACAACCATGGTGACATTACACATCCCTGTCTAAGACCTACTTTTATTGGGAAGTAGTCTCCCTCTCTTCTACACACCCTAACCTGAGCCTCACTATCCTCATAAAAACTCTTTACAGCATTTAGTAACTTACCACCTATTCCATATACTTGCAACATCTGCCACATTGCTCCCCTATCCACTCTATCAAGTCTTTTCTAAATCCATAAATGCAATAAAAACTTCCCTACCTTTATCTAAATACTGTTCACATATGTTTCAGTGTAAACACTTGATCTACACATCCCCTACCCACTCTGAAGCCTCCTTGCTCATCTGCAATCCTACATTCTGTCTTACCTCTAATTCTTTCAATTACAACCCTACCGTACACTTTTCCTGGTATACTCAGTAAACTTATTCCTCTATAATTTTTACAATCTCTTTTGTCCCCCTTTTTTTTTATTATCACACCGGCCGATTCCCACCAAGGCAGGGTGGCCCGAAAAAGAAAAACTTTCACCATCATTCACTCCATCACTGTCTTGCCAGAAGGGTGCTTTACACTACAGTTTTTAAACTGCAGCATTAACACCCCTCCTTCAGAGTGCAGGCACTGTACTTCCCATCTCCAGGACTCAAGTCCGGCCTGCCGGTTTCCCTGAATCCCTTCATAAATGTTACTTTGCTCACACTCCAACAGCACGTCAAGTATTAAAAACCATTTGTCTCCATTCACTCCTATCAAACACGCTCACGCATGCCTGCTGGAAGTCCAAGCCCCTCGCACACAAAACCTCCTTTACCCCCTCCCTCCAACCCTTCCTAGGCCGACCCCTACCCCGCCTTCCTTCCACTACAGACTGATACACTCTTGAAGTCATTCTGTTTCGCTCCATTCTCTCTACATGTCCGAACCACCTCAACAACCCTTCCTCAGCCCTCTGGACAACAGTTTTGGTAATCCCGCACCTCCTCCTAACTTCCAAACTACGAATTCTCTGCATTATATTCACACCACACATTGCCCTCAGACATGACATCTCCACTGCCTCCAGCCTTCTCCTCGCTGCAACATTCATCACCCACGCTTCACACCCATATAAGAGCGTTGGTAAAACTATACTCTCATACATTCCCCTCTTTGCCTCCAAGGACAAAGTTCTTTGTCTCCACAGACTCCTAAGTGCACCACTCACTCTTTTTCCCTCATCAATTCTATGATTCACCTCATCTTTCATAGACCCATCCGCTGACACGTCCACTCCCAAATATCTGAATACGTTCACCTCCTCCATACTCTCTCCCTCCAATCTGATATTCAATCTTTCATCACCTAATCTTTTTGTTATCCTCATAACCTTACTCTTTCCTGTATTCACCTTTAATTTTCTTCTTTTGCACACCCTACCAAATTCATCCACCAATCTCTGCAACTTCTCTTCAGAATCTCCCAAGAGCACAGTGTCATCAGCAAAGAGCGGCTGTGACAACTCCCACTTTGTGTGTGATTCTTTATCTTTTAACTCCACGCCTCTTGCCAAGACCCTCGCATTTACTTCTCTTACAACCCCATCTATAAATATATTAAACAACCACGGTGACATCACACATCCTTGTCTAAGGCCTACTTTTACTGGGAAAAAATTTCCCTCTTTCCTACATACTCTAACTTGAGCCTCACTATCCTCGTAAAAACTCTTCACTGCTTTCAGTAACCTACCTCCTACACCATACACTTGCAACATCTGCCACATTGCCCCCTATCCACCCTGTCATACGCCTTTTCCAAATCCATAAATGCCACAAAGACCTCTTTAGCCTTATCTAAATACTGTTCACTTATATGTTTCACTGTAAACACCTGGTCCACACACCCCCTACCTTTCCTAAAGCCTCCTTGTTCATCTGCTATCCTATTCTCCGTCTTACTCTTAATTCTTTCAATTATAACTCTACCATACACTTTACCAGGTACACTCAACAGACTTATCCCCCTATAATTTTTGCACTCTCTTTTATCCCCTTTGCCTTTATACAAAGGAACTATGCATGCTCTCTGCCAATCCCTAGGTACCTTACCCTCTTCCATACATTTATTAAATAATTGCACCAACCACTCCAAAACTATATCCCCACCTGCTTTTAACATTTCTATCTTTATCCCATCAATCCCGGCTGCCTTACCCCCTTTCATTTTACCTACTGCCTCACGAACTTCCCCCACACTCACAACTGGCTCTTCCTCACTCCTACAAGATGTTATTCCTCCTTGCCCTATACACGAAATCACAGCTTCCCTATCTTCATCAACATTTAACAATTCCTCAAAATATTCCTTCCATCTTCCCAATACCTCTAACTCTCCATTTAATAACTCTCCTCTCCTATTTTTAACTGACAAATCCATTTGTTCTCTAGGCTTTCTTAACTTGTTAATCTCACTCCAAAACTTTTTCTTATTTTCAACAAAATTTGTTGATAACATCTCACCCACTCTCTCATTTGCTCTCTTTTTACATTGCTTCACCACTCTCTTAACCTCTCTCTTTTTCTCCATATACTCTTCCCTCCTTGCATCACTTCTACTTTGTAAAAACTTCTCATATGCTAACTTTTTCTCCCTTACTACTCTCTTTACATCATCATTCCACCAATCGCTCCTCTTCCTTCCTGCACCCACTTTCCTGTAACCACAAACTTCTGCTGAACACTCTAACACTACATTTTTAAACCTACCCCATACCTCTTCGACCCCATTGCCTATGCTCTCATTAGCCCATCTATCCTCCAATAGCTGTTTATATCTTACCCTAACTGCCTCCTCTTTTAGTTTATAAACCTTCACCTCTCTCTTCCCTGATGCTTCTATTCTCCTTGTATCCCATCTACCTTTTACTCTCAGTGTAGCTACAACTAGAAAGTGATCTGATATATCTGTGGCCCCTCTATAAACATGTACATCCTGAAGTCTACTCAACAGTCTTTTATCTACCAATACATAATCCAACAAACTACTGTCATTTCGCCCTACATCATATCGTGTATACTTATTTATCCTCTTTTTCTTAAAATATGTATTACCTATAACTAAACCCCTTTCTATACAAAGTTCAATCAAAGGGCTCCCATTATCATTTACACCTGGCACCCCAAACTTACCTACCACACCCTCTCTAAAAGTTTCTCCTACTTCAGCATTCAAGTCCCCTACCACAATTACTCTCAAGGGACTATACATGCTCTCTGCCAATCCCTAGGTACCTTTCCCTCTTTCATACATTTACAAATATACAGCCAAATAATGAATATAGAGCCAAATAAAGAATAAAAATGCATAATACCATGACTTGAACAATACACAAATTATTTGTGTATACAACTATAAATACAGGACGATGAAATTAGTATCATTATGTAGGCTATTTTATGAGGAATCCAAAGAACATGTCATGTTTGGCTCAGCTATAACTGTATGTAAGGAAAATGGTGAAAACCAGGAGCAGGCAATATGCTCATACACAGAATTTGGCATTGTAAAAAGCTTTAGCCCCAGATGCCAGATGTCTGCCCAAGATTTTTACCTTCCTTTAGGCATGTGCTAATAACTGGATCCATTGAGAAAATTTGTCCACTGGAAAATTCCTGAAGGTCTGTATTAGCACTTTCCCAGGAATTTTCAAATAATAATAGAACTACAGAGAAGGGTAGCCATACTTTACATTAATTTTATTTAAGTTTTTAACCTATATATTTCTGAACAGTAAATTTGGAATATATAATATTAAGTTGAGAACAGACTTGAAACACTTGTGTAATCTCATAATAAGGAATTTCCTCTTGGTATTGGCAACAGGTGTTTACTATGTCTCAATGCTAAAGTTCCTAAAATTTTGCTTTCAGATGTTGCCGTTAGAAACTAATATCAGAGATGCATATGCCAATGGTCAAGATGCAGAGCAACAGTTCATACAAAACCTGGCCTTATTCTTATGTACCTTCCTTAAGGAGCGTGGCTCATTAGTGGAGAGAAAGCAACTAAGTGAAGCTCTCCTTAAAGTAAGTTAATATATTTGTGAGCAATGGAGTTTTAAATATCACTTATTACCTTTTTATCACTAAGGGAGGGAATAGCTCCTTGTTCGAAGTACAATAGTAACTTATACTGTACTTCTTATATTCTGTTAGTTTTCTTCTGTTAGGGACAAATCTGTGCTATTGTACATCCCCCCTCAAAACAGTTGAGACACATTCTAGGTACCTTTAAGTTTATCAGAACATCTTTTTGTTCTGCTGAGTAAAAATTACTATGGTTTCTTCTCATACATTGTTATAAATTGGAGGATTTGAAGCATGGGAATGATTAACATAGTCCTATTGGACCGTAATGTATGTAATGAGGTTCATCAGTTAACACCCACTGTACATGTCAATAGTGTAAAAATAAAATTCTCCACTTTGCAGTTTTCTTGTTTAAACATTTTTTCACTTGTCTTTATCATCAGTTGCCAACATGTTCAGCACAGTAGAAATACAGCAGAGGGCCTCAATTTACAACATTGTTGTATTCCTGAAAATTCATACTAACTAACCCAGTTTATAATTGAAAATTTGTTCCTTAGCCATAATGTATCATATCTAATTTCAGTTTTCTTTTCCAAAGTCTTTTACCAAATATTTTACATAATTGGTGTCTTTTTCTTTTACTTGTAAATAGTATTAAACATTGTTTAATATACAGCAAACCCTCAGTGTAAAGAATTTTTTGAAATAATGTGTAAAATCCACTACATAAATTCTACTTATAACTTTATTTTTCAATGTTTATTGCAGTATAACTGAAAATTGTACAGTACTCTGTCCAAGGTGCGAGTATTGCTGTTTGAAAGTACTATGTTAGATGTACAGTAGAATACTTTAGTCCTTTTTTGTTTTTTCACATTTTCTAACATTCTTATTAACAGACATTTGGACAACCCCATATTAGTTCATTATATTGAGTGTTTGAATTTAGTAATTAATACTAAATTAAATTTAAAAACAAGAATAATTTAAAGTTCAGATGTTTGAATGTGCCTTAATGTAGTACAGATGATGTGAAAAAGTTGATTAGTGATTGTTATAAATGAAAAGTAGCTGGATGTCCTCCCTCTTATGTGTAACAAACCTGTGAAGGTTAAATTTTCAGTGGGGAGAAATACATGGTATAAGTTGAGGTGTAGCTGAGTTAAAGCTAAGGAAGGGGTAGTGTAGTAGTAATGTTGAATGAACTGTTATGGTAGGAAAAGAGGGAATATAATTCTATAAATTCAGGGATTATGTGGATTAAATTAGGATGGGATGTGAAAAATAGGTAGAGAGAGAGTGATTTTGGGTGATCACCTCATGTTTTAAGGAGTTTTGAATCAAATGAGTATAATTGTGGTAGTGGATTTAAGTGCTAAAGTGAGAGAAACTGTTGTAGAGGGTATAGTAGATAAGTTTGGGATGCCAGGAGTAAATGATAAAGGGGGGGGCTTTTAATTGAACTTTGTACAGAAAGAGGTTTGGTAATGGGTAATACATATTTTCAGAAGATGATAAAAAAGTATAGAGATTTGATATAAAGTGCATTGACAGCAGTTAGTTTTTTTTTTGACACATCAGCCGTCTCCCACCGAGGCATGGTGACCCAAAAAAGAAACACTTTCATCATCATTCAACACTTCCACCATCATTCACACAATCACCATATCATAAATCGATTACGTGTGTATTTGGTAGCGGGTATAAATGATACTCTTTGGAGGCTTTATTTGGGTTCTTGGTACACAGGCAGTGTGTTTAAGTGGCCATGCCCACGAGGGAGGGAGGGGGTGGACCTTGTTTCCTGAGTGAAGTCAGCTGCCTGAGTGAGGGCAAGGTAAGCGTGGTGCGGCTGAATTGGGTGGGCCTATAGGTGGCAGCACGAGCATTACCTGGAGTTTACCTGGAGAGGGTTTCGGGGGTCAACGCCCCCACAGCCCGGTCTGAGACCTGGCCTCATGGTGGATCAGGGTCTGGTCAACCAGGCTGTTACTGCTGGCCGCACGCAAGCTGATGTACGAACCACAGCCCAGTTAGTCAGGTACTGACTTTAGGTGCCTGTCCAGTGCCTTCTTGAAGACAGCCAGGAGTCTATTGGTAATCCCCCTTATGGATGCTGGGAGGCAATTGAACAGTCAGTGGCATGAAATACGAACTCAACTGGGCATACATCGTAGGCCTGCTGTCTACATTTGCTCGGCCACCTACCCATGGTTGTCCTTGACCATCCTTGACTGGAAAAAAACTCGGTCTCTCTTGCAAGAAGAGAACATAGAATAAAAAACATACATACATATACACCTACCATCCGACTTACGACCGAGTTCGGTTCCGAGAAACCGGTCGTAAGTCGAAATGGTCGTAAGTCGAACTTTACTACTGAATATCAACAAAACATTTTTGTAATGACTTTATTTTATTGTTTTATTTTGGTATTTCATGTTTTACTTTACTTTTTATGCTGTTAGTACTGTATTTTATACTGTAAGGTTTAGGATAAACACTGTGTACAACACAAATAGTTGTTTATTTCCCAGAAATTTGGCATAAAAAACACGGTCGTAAGTCGAGTGGTCCTAAGTCGAGCAGGTCGTAAGTCGGATGGTAGGTGCACATATGGAGTAAAATAAAAGTTGGATGTGAAAAGTGGGTTATAGTAAGCATATATGCACCTGGAGAAGAGAGAAGTGTAGAGGAGAGAGAGAGATTTTGGGAAATGTTGAGTGAATGTGTGGGTGGTTTTGAACCAAGTGTGAGAGTGCTTGTGGTTGGAGATTTCGATGCTAAAGTGAGTAAAAATGTTGTGGAGGGAGTAGTAGGTAAATTTGGGGTGCCAGGGGCAAATGAAAATGGGGAGCCTTTAATTGAGCTATGTGTAGAAACAGGTTTGGTAATAAGTAATATATATTTTATGAAAAAGAGGATAAATAAATATACAAGGTATGATATAGCACGTAATGAAAGTAGTTTGTTAGATTATGTATTGGTGGATAAAAGGTCGATGGGTAGGCTTCAGGATGTACACGTTTATAGGGGCAACTGATATATCGGATCATTATCTAGTTGTAGCTACAGTTAGAGTAAGAGGTAGATGGGACATGAGGAAAATGGCAACAACAAGTAAGAGGGAAGTGAAAGTGTATAAACTAAGGGAGGAGGAAGTTCGGGTGAGATAAAAGCAACTATTGGCAGAGAGGTAGGCTGGTGCAAGTATGAGTTGTGGGGGGGTTGAAGAGGGTTGGAATAGTTTTAAAAATGCAGTATTAGAATGTGGGGCAGAAGTTTGTGGTTATAGGAGGGTGAGTGCAGGAGGAAAGAGGAGTGATTGGTGGAATGAAGTAAAGGGTGTGATAAAAGAGAAAAAGGTAGCTTATGAGAGGCTTTTACAAAGCAGAAGTGTTATAAGAAGAGTAGAGTATATGGAGAGTAAAAGAAAGGTGAAGAGAGTGCAAAGGGAGAGCAGATGAGAGAGTGAGAGAGGCACTGTCAAGAAATTTTAATGAAAATAAAAAATTTTGGAGTTAAACAAGTTAAGAAAGCCTAGGGAACGTATGGATTTGTCAGTTAAAAACAGAGTAGGAGAGTTAGTAGATTGGGAGACGGAGGTATTGAGTAGATGTTGAGAATACTTCGAGGAACTTTTCAATGTCGACGAAGAAAGGAAGGCGGTAATTTCATGCACTGGCCAGGGAGGTATACCATCTTTAAGGAGTGAAGAAGAGCAGGATTTAAGTGTGGGGAAGGTGCATGAGGCATTACGTAGAATGAAAGGGGGTAAAGCAGCTGGAACTGACGGGATCATGACAGAAATGTTAAAAGCAGGGGGAGATACAGTGTTGGAGTGGTTGGTATTTTTGTTTAATAAATGTATGAAAGAGGGGAAGGTACCTAAGGATTGGTGGAGAGCATGTATAGTCCCTTTATATAAAGGGAAGCGGGACAAAAGAGATTGTAAAAATTATAGAGGAATTAGTTTACTGAGTATACCAGGAAAAGTTTACAGTAGGGTTATTATTGGAAGAATTAGAGGTAAGACAGAATGTAGGATTGCGGATGAGCAAGGAGGTTTTAGAGTGGGTAGGGGATGTGTAGATCAGGTGTTTACATTGAAGCATATATGTGAACAGTATTTAGATAAAGGTAGGGAAGTTTTTATTGCATTTATGGATTTAGAAAGGCATATGATAGAGTGGATAGGGGAGCAATGTGGCAGATGTTGCATGTATATGGAATAGGTGGTAAGTTACTAAATGCTGTAAAGAGTTTTTATGAGGATAGTGAGGCTCAGGTTAGGGTGTGTAGAAGAGAGGGAGACTACTTCCCGGTAAAAGTAGGTCTTAGATAGGGATGTGTAATGTCACCATGGTTGTTTAATATATTTATAGATGGGGTTGCAAAAGAAGTAAATACTAGGGTGTTTGGGAGAGGGGTGGGATTAAATTATGGGGAATCAAATACAAAATGGGAATTGACAGTTACTTTTTGCTGATGATACTGTGCTTATGGGAGATTCTAAAGAAAAAATGCAAAGTTTAGCGGACGAGTTTGGGAGAATGTGTAAAGGTAGAAAGTTGAAAGTGAAGGTAGAAAAGAGTAAGGTGATGAGGGTATCAAATGATTTAGATAAAGAAAATTTTGATATCAAATTGGAGAGGAGGAGTATGGAAGAAGTGAATGTTTTCAGATATTTGGGAGTTGACGTGTCAGCAGATGGATTGATGAAGGATGAGGTTAATCATAGAATTGATGAAGGAAAGGAGGTGTGTGGTGCATTGAGGTATATGTGGAGACAAAAAAACTTTACCTATGGAGGCAAAGAAGGGAATGTATGAAAGTATGTGTAGTGGTACCAACACTTATATGGGTGTGAAGCTTGAGTTGTAAATGCTACAGCGAGGAGACGGTTGGAGGCAGCGTAGGTGTCCTGTCTAAGGGCAATGTGTGGTGTAAATATTATGCAAAAAATTCGGAGTGTGGAAATTAGGAGGTGTGGA